TTCCCTAAACACAGTGTAACAACTATTTACATAGCATTTACATTGTAGCTGTAAAAGTAATCCAGAGGTTATTTAAAACATAGGGAAGGTATGTGTAGTTTCTATGTAATTCCTACACCATTACATATGATGGACTTGAGCATTCCTGAATTCTGGTATCTCTGGGGGTCATAGAACCAACCAATCATTCTCCCACCCTCTGTGGATGTATTAAACACTATTTTAACCATGAATCAATAGCATATTAGGAGAGAAGGAGATCGACATCACGTAAGAGTACTAAATTCTGTGATAAATTTATCAAATATTAAAGTTTAGAAATATGAGAGAAAATCTTGTTTATTTGCACCATAAGCCTTGTAGTCAATATTTTATTTTATTTTATTTCTCATTTTATTTTATTTGACAGGGTCTCACTATGTAGCCCAGGCCGGCCTGGAACTCATGCGGATCCTCCTGCTTCAGCCTCCTAGGTGGTGGGGTTATAGGTGTGCACCACCTCACCTGGCTTCAATGTTCAGTTTTAATCATGTAATCCTTCTGAAAACTGTTTTAGAATTCAAAAAATACTTAACAACATTGTTGTATATCATCATCCTAGTTTTTTAAAAAGGAAAGAAAGTAATGGCCCTAAGAAAATTATCAGAGGAAATCGAATATAAATTATCTTTGAGTGGGGGAATTGTGAGTGATTTTACTTTATTTTTTTAACTTTTCTTTCTTTCTGAGACAGGATATTATTATGTTTCTCAGGCTAGCCTCAGACTCTTGGTCTCTCAGGGCATGGTGGCACATGCCTGTAATCCTAGTACTTGGGAGGATGAGGCAGGAGGATCGCCATGAGTTCTAGGCCAGTCTGGGCTACATAGTGAGTTCAAGGCCAGCTTGAACTACATAATGAGACCCTATCTCAAAAAAATAGTAATAAAACCTGTATAAATATGTCTGTATATAACTGACAGATGTCTAGAGTGATAAACACCAAACTGAAAGTGATTTCACCTGGGAATTAGTGAGATTGGGAAAGAGAGCAGAAAGAATTACTTTCATTTAAAATTTTTTATCTATACTGTGTGAATTTTTATAATAAATATTAATTTGTGGAAGGCTGAGGCAGGAGGATCACCAGAAGTTTGAGGCCAGCATAGGCTACACAGTGAATTCAAGGCTAGCCTGGACTACATAGCAAGACTCTTTCTCAAAAAACTGAAAGTATATTATATGTATAGTTATATTTTAATTTAACCCTCATCTTCTTTCTGTTACAAAACTGAATAAAATATACAAATTCACTATTCAGCCAGCCAGCATGCACACTTACATTCTTACTATGTGCTTGATTCTGAAGAGAGAAATATGTTAGGTCCTAATGAATTTCCAAATGTGGTGGGACAAAGTATACAACAAGTATTTACTCTTTACTATGCTGTTGCAGAAAAATAAGCTAAAGAGCTTTGGGAATACCAAGATATTATCTTAGTCAGGAGAAACCTAGGGAAGATTTTATAATGGTGACTTTTGATTTAGACATCTTCAAAGATGAACAAAAACTAGGAGGTTGGCAGGCAAGACTTTCATAGAGGTAGCAATTTGTTAAAGGCACACAAGTGAGGCATGTACAAAGAAGTAGCCAAGACCACTTACTATCTATGTGACCATGCCTTCTCAAAACTGAACCTGTTTCCACTAAAAAATAAGGATAACAGTATCTTCCTCAGAGGGTTGCTGTGAGGAAAATGAGATGGTAAGTTGAGAAGGATGTGAAGGGAATCTGGCTGCTACCTCTTCCATCCACTGATTTCTAAGGCTGACATGGCTGTTTCACCATGGGTTATTGTCTTTTTTTCCCCCTCACTGTTCCTCCAGAAGTTATTTATGTGATAGATCAGCACAATCTTCTGTCATCCACAACAGTCTAACATAGCTCTTCATACACAATATTTACTCAAAACCCATTAAACTTTTTAAAAACATATGTTCAGAATTCCTTTTAACTGTTCTTTGTAACATTCCTAGAACTGCCCTGCAATCACTGCTGGGGTCCCCACTGTCAATGTGGAATACCATGGTGTGTTTAATAAGTATCCGTTCATGGTATACAAACCTTATTTTATACTTACAAACTGAGGCCGCTCTGCAATACAGCAGTTGAAACACAACCAGAATCCACTCATGCTTACAGTTCAAGGTGTAAATGAGCACCAAGGAAAGTTCCAAATCTCACTTCAGAAAGTTCTTCAAGGTATGGTCTTCAATACGGTGAATGCCCAATTAAAAGAATGATTTTATTTCACTGTATTTTTGTTCTTGGAAGTCAAGTATATATAGTTAATTTAAAGAAATTGCTTCCTTGCTTTGCTTCTGGTTCTGTAAACTCCTTTCTGAACCAGCTGGAAGGTATAAAACTGCTGTCTTGAACCCAGGCCTACAGTGGGTAGTCACTCCATCAGTAGAGCCACCCATTCAGTTTTGTCTGGGTTGAGAACACTCCATAATATGCATACAGATGACTCCACAGACTCATTATCAGAAGTTGTTCCTTGAAGATTTCCTCCCATTTGGGTTCTAGGTTTCATTCAAAATATCTACAAACTCTAAACTGGCCCTATCTGGACAACAATTTAGCCAGTTGTGACACTGTTAAGACTCACTACACTTTTGGTTTGCCTCTTGGTATTGTTTGCTGGTACTGTTAACATTCCCAGACCCTATAATCCTAGCACTACAGAGGCTGATCTAAGTTTGAGGCAGCCTGGACTACACAAGAGAGACAATTGCCTTTGTCTTTGCTGTCAGCCCCTGGTACACCCACTCTGAGCACTGGCTCCCACCACCTTGACTCCTGCCAGCCCCATGCCAGCAGCTGTACTCCCTGCTGCTTCCTTCCCAAAGCACATTTCTCTGGAGGTGGGTTTACGACAATCAGTTTTCCAAATTCCTATCATCTCATAAACAATAAGCAAAGCTGTAGGTTGGTGAGGTAATTTCAAACATAATAGAGGTTGGATCTGGAATTGATGGGACCAAGGATACAGGTTGGGGCCAGGGCAGACTGTTGCTGCTAAGGCAAACTGATTAGTGAGAAAAAGATATAACTGGAGAATGAGTATATAGAGAGAAACCTCTCCTACTCTCAGTTATAGCACTGATGGAAAGCAATAGAGAGAGCCAGGGGGAAGTGAACTTGCCACAAATGATACCTGATACCTTCCAACAATGAGTTTGCTTTAGCTCTTCAGAGTCTCTGACTGAGATTAATTGCACATTGCAGGCTGAAGAGGGTGAGGCCAAGCATGTAACAGCCAGGCTCCCGTATATCTAGTTTCAAAGCTATGAAAAATACTTCTGACAAGACACAGAGAGTTTCTGACTTAGTATGATCATAACTTCTTTTCTTCTGATGGACAAGAGTCTAGTTCTCAACTAGCAATTCTTACCCACAAGGCCCCCCAAGGTAAATGTGTTCACAGGAGACAACTCTTCCAAGGGAACAGTGATACTCAGAAGCTTCCATTGCACCATATGCAGCCTGTTGCCTAATTTCAGAAGGAAAGATTCCTAGCGAGATAAAGTGATTCCAGAGGTGATACAGTCTCTTGTCGGGAGGACAGGGTCCTGAACTATGCTTTATTTTTGTAAGAGCCTTACTTTTGTGGAGAAGCAAGCCCTGTTTTCCTTCCACAATTCATTTAGAGTCTCCTCTTCCTCACACAAGTCCCAATGACCAATCAGGAGGAGCCTTAAGGGTCCTATCACCAGAGTCATTGTCTAGTGCCTTCAACACTAAAATTGTTCATGGCAGAAAACTAGTTCTCCCTTTCCTGGATGGAGGGCAGAATGGTGGAGTTGGGGGCAAGTGGCTTAAGCTTGATTGACTTTTTTGCTGTGAAGGATTTCTATTCCTTTTAGGAGAAGAAAGTTTTCATCCCACTTGAATAATATTATCTTTCTATTTAATGGAGATAATAAAAGACCTGAATGAAGGATATCCGATATTGCTCCAGAGAAACTGATCTGATAGGATATGTGCATTTATAGAGATTTAGCTTCAAGTGGAGCTCATGTGATTCTTGAGGTTGGAAAATCCAAAATTCGTAGTTCAAGTCCATCATCTTTTTTTTTTTTTGGTACCAGGGATCGAACTCAGGACCTTGCGCTTGTGAGGCAGGCACTGGAACCACTGAGCTAAATCCCCAGCCCTTAAATGTTCATAATCTTTGTGTGTGTGTGTGTGTGTGTGTGTGTGTGTGTGTGTGTGTGTAGTTCAAGTCCAAAGGTTATCAAGTGGGAAGAATTACTTCTTGGTTGGAGGAGTCAGTCTTTTATTCTATGAGGACCCTAAACTGATGAAGTCTGACAGGTCCCCCAAGTAGGACCCCCACCCAAGCAGACTGGCTATCTGCATCCACAGGAGCACAGAGACAACAAGAGACCAGCAGCCACCCTGCTGCTCTCACTACCCCCCTGCTTATCAGCCAGCCCCAGCCCCATCACCCATGGGACTCTAAAATTTTCAACCCTCTTGATCAGTGCCCCCCCCAAATGCCCTATATTAACCATGAGCACCCTCCTCTCAGTGCCAACGGCCTTCTCAGCCTTGGCCCATCTGGACCCAGATGGCAATAAACTCATCGCATGTTGCTTAGACTTTGCCTGCCTTAGTGGTCTCAATTGTGCCTCTGTAACCTTACAAAGTCCACTTACTTTATAGAGAGCTGTATGCTTTACTCAAAAGTTCATCAAGGGCTGGGCATTTAGCTCAATGGTTCCGGTGCCTGCCTCACAAGCGCAAGGACCTGAGTTCGATCCCTGGTACCAAAAAAAAAAGTTCATCAGTTTAAGTATTGATGTCAGCCTAAAGCATCTTCAGAGAAACTTCAAGAATAATGTTTGAGAAAGCGGGCGCAGATACTGACCAGACTGGTTTCTGGTTGTTCTCTTCCACTCACAAGAAATTTTATTTTATCTGAATTCTGTGTCTCTGTGTATTTCTTTCCGAGATTTCTGCAACATTTGGTGCGTTGGCCAGGAATCAGGAATAAAATAGCCCTTTTGGGCATCCACCCGAACCCCACCGGAGGGAGCCGGTCTCTGTCTCCTCAAGAGGAAAGGTGCACCCTTGGGACTAATTTCCTAGGCTCCCCAAAAGGACACAGAGATCCGCTCACCATTGGAGGTTTGTCCAAACCCGAGAAGGAGACTACAGAAGGAAGACTGCTGCTCTTGGTGTCTCGTCTGTCTCTTTCCTTTGCTGGAAAACCTAATGTATTTTCGGATATTATTTTCCTGAAGAAACACAGAATGAAGACAGGAGATAAAACTATAGAGATATATATTGAAAAGACTATTTATCTCTCTCTCTATATATATTTTTGGTACTGGGGATGGAACTCAGGACCGTGCAGGTGTGGTGCTGCCGAGCTAAATCCCTGGCCCAATAGTCTTTTAAATATTAAGAAGGTGGAGACAGGCAGGTCTGCCGATGCCCTACCGAGGTCCTGAGTCACACAGAACAGGCCAAATCACCCCACTGCAGACAGGCAGCCACCTGGATCCACACTACAAAGACGCAGAGGACGCCAGACCACCAGACCATGGTACTGAGTCCCGCTGCTCCCGGCCCAGAAGTAGGAGCTTCTGAGCTGCCGTCCCACTGCTCCTGGTCCAGAGGAAGGGGCTTGCCAGTCACCATCCCTCCCACTGCACCCAGCCCAGAGGAAAGGGCTTTTGGGTCACCTTCTGTCCTGTTGCTCCTGGCCCAGAGGAAGGGGCTTCTGGGCCACCATCACTCCCACCACTCCCGGCCCAGAGGTAGGGGCTTCTGAGCCGCCATCCTACTGCTCCTGGTTCAGAGGAAGGGGCATCCCGGCCACTATGCCTCCCGCTGCTCCCAGCCTACAGGAAAGGGCTTTTGGGTCACAATCCCTACTGCTGCTCCTGGCCCCTGTCTCACCTCTCCCAGCTCAGAGGAGGTAATCCGTGCAGGCACAAGCAGCCCCCCGCCCCAGTCGAAATGAGAAAATACATAAATAAGTCTCAAAACCAGACTTCCAGATCACCTGCAGCAACCCCAAAGGGAAATGAGATGGAACACTCTGATACTCAACCACCTGGACCCA